TGGTGTGTGTGTGTGTGTGTGTGTGTGTGTGTGGTGTGTGTGTATCCATGGAAAATATCAAATATAAATGAAAAACAGCAAAGCAAGCTGTGGGAACAGACAGTATCAAGTAGCTTAACATATGTGCACTTAGAGACCCAGAGATACCAAGAAGGCAAAACAGAGAATTTTTCAATGAAATTGCTGAAAAGCCTAGCCTTAGAACCACATGTCAGAGGAGTGAGGAGGGCTATGGTTAGGTAGGGCAGGGTGGAGCACTCACCACTCTTGGGGTTTCCAGAAAAGAAGGAAACACTCACTTCCTTGGCTTAGGGGAAGAAGCTAGTAGTCCTGGATAGGAAAAGAAAAGAAACTCTTTACACTCTTGGCCTTGAAATGGATCTTTTCTTTACATTTTTTTTCTGAAGAATCTGTAGTAACACCTGGGAGGCAGAGACAAAGGGCTTACCTGTTTTAAAACTCTTTCCAAGTGGGCTGGTTAATTTTTGTCAACTTGACACAACCTAAACATTTCTGGAAGGGAGGGAATCTTGATTGTGGAATTGCCTCCCTCAGACTGGCCTCTAGGTGAGCCTGTGGGGCATTTTCTTGATTAAAGATGAATGTATGAGGACCCAGAACATTGTGGGCAGTATCTTCTGGGAAGATAGTTCTGAGTTGTATAAGAAAGCAGGTTGAGCAAGCCAGTTAGCAGCCAAGGTTCCTGCCTCTGCTTCTGTTTGAGTTCCTGCCTTGAATTTCCCTAATGATTGGCTGTGACTTTCCTTTTCAAGTTGCGTTTGATCATGTTGTTTATCACAGCAATAGAATGCAAGCTAGGAATTATGTGGGAATTATGCTCTCACTTCTATCTACTACTAATAATCTTCATTCTTTGCCCTCAAATCTTCAACTCCAACCAAGAGTGGTTTTCATGGGAGCATCAAAGCAGGTTTTCGCTAAGTGTGTGTTCTATCACCGAACTGCACTCCCAACCTGGTAAGTTTTGAAATTGGTACATTCTTTCTTATTTCTTATCAAAAATCCTACTCCAGATTCCTGAGTTCCATTTACATATTACATATTATTTCCACCCACTAAGGTTTCAGGATGGTCTTTGAGACCCCATGCTTCTTTATTACTTTTATTTATTTTTTTTGGTTTTTTCGAGACAGGGTTTCTCGGTGGCTTTGGAGGCTGTGCTGGAACTCGCTCTAGGCTGTTCCAGAGATCTCTATCACAGAGATCTGACTGTCTCTGCCTCCTAAGTACTAGGACTAAAGGCGTGCACCACCAACACCCAGCTACTTTTATTTTTATTTTTTAATCAATTACTGTTATTTCAGAAGAAACATGCTCCCTGGGTCTTCTATTTTATCTAAAATAATTAGGACACTAAAATTAGTTTTATAACATCTAGTTATGAATACAAAGAATATAATTTATGAAAATAAATGGTATAAAATATACTATGTAAAAACAAAATGCCTTATGAAAAAAATATGGATACTGAAAAATATAAAAGTATGAAAGTTATATTTAAGTGTACTTTCCTGAAAAAAAATAAATTTGCTTGCTTGTAATGCTTTATGGAAACGTGAGTACTTACATAGGAGAAACAAGAATTTTTCCTTTTTTTCTTTTTCTTTTCTTTTTTTTTTTTTTTTTTGGTTTTTCTAGACAGGGTTTCTCTGTGTAGCTTTGAAGCCTGTCCTGGAACTTGCTCTGTAGATCAGGCTGGACTTGAAATCACAGAGATCCGCCTGCCTCTGCCTTGAGAATGCTGGGATTGAAGGCATGTGCCACCACCGTCCATCAAAAAACAAGAATTCTTATATCTCCTCAAACATGACTTTACTTTCCAAATGCACAAGTTTAAACTATAGCATCAAAAGAAAACTGCAAAAAAACTTGTATGGTCATCTGTTGGAAAAGACAGGAAGATGGGATCACAGAAAAAAAAAACTTCTGAATAGTAAAGAAAGGAAATCTGTAACCTAGTGAACATGTTCACTAGCAGCCATGTTCACTACAGTGTGATCTTTTGCTAGCTATACTTCTGACAGGAGGATAAAAGCTAAACTTTACAGCCTGGAGAGATGGCTCAGTAGTTAGGAGCCATTCTCTTCCAGAGAATGCTGTTTCAATTCCTAACACCCACAAGGTGATTCACAACCACCTGTAACTCCAGTTCTAGGGGATCCTACTCCCTCTTCTGGGCTCTGTGGGCATTAGGCACATGTGTGGTACACAGACATACATGCAGACAAAACACCAGTACACTCTAGCACTTGGGAGGCAGAGGCAGGCGGATCTCTGTGAGTTCGAGGCCAGCCTGGTCTACAGAGTGAGTTCCAGTACAGCCTCCAAAGCCACAGAGAAACCCTGTCTTGAAAAAAAAAAAACAAAAAAACAAAACAAAACAAAACAAAAAAGAGTCAATAATGCAAACATTATACATAATCAGTGGAATTTCAGTTAACTATAAAGAAAAATGAAGTCATGAAATCTGCAGGAAAGTGGAGGATTTGCAAATTGTGTTAGATGAGATAACCCAGACTCCCAAAGTCGAATACCACATTTCTTTCTTGCGTGCAGATTCTAGCTTTAAATATGTAAGTGTGTGTGTGGGGGGCGACTTAAGGGTGTGAGTGTGGGTATAGGTCATGAAACTGCAATAAAATGTGAGGAATAAAAAAGTGGTTTGGGGAGTAACAACACTTGTGACATGAAAACAGGTGGGGGAACCACTGGAGTAGAAAGGCAAAAGTGGGGAGCGGTTGGGGAGAAAAAGTGCAGAAGGATCAACAAACCAATTATAAATGCCGCCACGACACCCACTTACATTCTAATAAAAAGATGTAAACACAGAGGGAGAGAAATAAGCTTCTGATAAGCTGGGTAGAAGAGGTGAAAAACCCAGAATTCTGCATTAAGAGAAAATATATTTTTCAAGTTAAACTTTAAAAACTGGCAGCATAGACCAGTGCTCGTTTCTGTCCACTTTTTCATTTCAGGCTGCAATTTTAACGCAGTCGGACAGCCAGGATTACCACCCTTGACGGTTAAGCTTAAAAAAGGCCCAAGTCTGCTCACTGATAGAAGCCAAACCTCAGGGCAAAAACTTAAAAAGATTACAATATGTAACACCTCGCGAGGTTTTATATCCTTTCTTGTTTTTCATCGCCAGTCTCCCTAGAGAGGGGACTTGGAGGGGGGCTGGCATGTGGAGAAGAAGCGCCAGCCTGGAATGTGAGAGTTTATTGCTGGGTCTGACACTTCCCAGTTCCATCCTGACTGGATGGGCAGACCTGACCCGGGCGGAGGGGCGGCCCTCAGCTGCCACGGTCACCAGGACAGACCAGCTCCCTCTGGGAGGCTGCAACAGGGAAGCCCACCTGAAGGCTCCCACAGAACAGCTTCCTGACGCTGTCAGGAGCCGCGCACCGGAGCAGCTCTAGGGAGTAACCGTTTCCCTCAGCCAGGAACGCCTCGGGCTCCAGCGACCTGCTCGCTGTTGGCTTCGAAGCAACAACAGGTGTTCTAAGCGCTAAGGGACGACCACCGCGCATGCGCGTCCCGGCGGCTTCCGGAAAGGCGCGGGCTAGAGGATGGTTACTAGGAGACAGGACGCACGGGTCGGCCATCTAGGCGCTGCGTGGGCGTGCGCCTGCGCGGCGCGGATGGGCCAGGAAAAGGCCTCTCTGGTCGGAGCCCTGAAAGGCGGGCAAGGCGGCTGTGCACACGTCGCT